TACCTTTTCTGTTACTGATGCTTATTGTCAATTTTAGTTAAAGAAATTTTTTATCTGGGAATTTGCTATTGAGTAAGCTGGAGTTTGCTGTTGTTTTGAGTTATGTCTTCATTTATTACAAGGTGTACACTACAAGGCAGTGATACTATGCATCATCTGTTACAAATTTTTTAAATTACTTCTTTCCATCCCCTTTCTTTTCCTTCCGTCTACTATCACAAATATATTTAATTTCATCTAAAAAAAACCCCAATCTGCATCTAAAATTTCATCTACAAAATCTCAAATTTTTCTACAGATGTAGATAATTTCAGTGAACATTTTGCAGATAGCACATTGGCCAAGTGACTGCACTTGCTCAAAGTTGCAATAGTTGCTCTCTAACATTAAAAACAAAAACCTAGGTGATCTGGTCTGAGCTTTCTGCTTGGTTAGTTAGCCTGCCTAACTTTTACAGACCTCAGGCATTGATTTTTTTCTTAGAAGCTTTATTCTGTGTTTCCTCATGGGTCTAGTTCACAATAATACTGTCATATTTCTGTCATTAGGAAAACAGGTAGAAAATTCATAGTTATTCAGTACTTAAGAGTATATTATGAGCGGAACTTTCTCTCTCTCTCTCTGTGCGTGTGTGTGTGTGTGTGTGTGTACAAACATACAAACTGAAAGATCTTAAACGAAAATAAATTGCTATGACAAGAATAGAAATTTCAAATGATTTTTTCTTTAAATATGTTAAAGATAGTGTAAAGAACATCCATTTAAGGAAAAAAATACAAGGATTTGACAGTATATTAACATATACAAACAATAATAAAACAATTTGTCATAAATGCAGTTACCGAATCTATATTTTTTAATAATAAAAAATGAGGTCAATATTATGGTGTGATAAAGTCATTTTACTGCTTCAAGGCTTCACATCCCATTTTTAGTCTTGTAAGATTTCCATGATTTCTTTCTTCTATAAAATCTTTTGATTCTGCCTTTTACTTTGTCATGTCTAGCTAACACTAATCTATCTTCCTCCAAGACTTGGGTATCTATCATGAAGTATCCGTTTCAGCTTTATTCTTTATACCCATCCAAGCTATGTCAGCTGTACTTCTTAAAACCATTCAATATTATTTTGTGTTTTGGTTTAATTCAGTTTAGTTTTATTTACTAGTTGACTCCTAAGTCATCTCAAGTGGCTTTCCACATACTCCTGCAATCTTAGTCATTCAACAGTATCAACATGACTGTTGGCTTAGCTAGGTTGACTTTTATTTTTTGCAGATATCTTTTAATAGCTGATGCTTACCAAATATCCCGATACTGAACAGATACAACAGTAGCAGTAGCAGGTCCATCTTTTTTTGTCAGTTTCACAGTCTTGCTCAAACTGATTTTTATGCTAAATCTGTTACTTTCCTGGTTTAGCTTTGTATTTATGCTTTTTGTGTCATCTTTGTTTAGTAATAGGAGGTAAATTTTCTTTGTGAAACCTAGGGCTTTTTATTGTGTGTTCACAAAGCATAGCTCATTTTCCTCTGTCATATTGTGCTCCCTAAAATTCCTGCTCCCAATTTTGAATTACATATATTTGGTGAGAGGGTTAATCCTTCTTGTCTTGCTCTCACAGTCAAACTAAATGATGCCATCAACAGTTTCTGTGCTCTCCTCCTAGTCATTACATTGCTGTAGATATTTTCCATCAGCTTCATCAATTTCTCGGCAATGCTGAATGGACTTAAAACTTGTTTTATCCCATTTCACATTATCAACAGTTTGATGCCTTTGAAATTACTATAGCGAGTTTCTTGTTTTTTATTCCTATGCCCATTTAACATGCATCTTATGCTAAGGGCTGATCTATTCTTCCCTGTTCTAGTATATATCTGACCTTTTGCTCTGCAAACTCTACTTTATTCTTTCTTTTTTGTGATACCCTTCATGAAGAATTTTCCTGGCATACTCAATAGACAAATTTCTTTATAGCTCTTGTGCTCAATTTTGTACTCTTTGTTAGATGTTGATATTGCTGTTGCTTCCATGCATATAGTGAGTAGTTGTTCATGATAAATACTATTCAATAGTTTTCTCTTCGATCTATTGTGCGTTTCTTAACTTACTTGGTTACATTGCAATTCACTGGCAAAGTTTCCGTTTAAAAACTCTATTCAAAACAAGAATTTTCCTTTATATCTTTTGCTTTCTTCTACTATCCTCTGTGACACTTCCCCAGGACTAGTTTAATTTCTATTTTCTGAATGTTGTGTAGCTTTGAGATATGTCTCCATCATTCATTCCTTACTTGTTCCTCATTATTTGCACACAACTGTCTTTTAACTCAAATATCCTGTTTGGTTCCTCTTATCTTGGATCGCATTTCTCTTTAAATACTCTTCTGGTTCTTTAATTTCCCTATTTAAAGGCCAGTCAGCCTTACCTTGATCTCTGGGAAGGTGATGGATCAACCAGTCCTGGATACCATTTCCAGATATGTGAAGGACAGAAAGGTTATTGGGAATAGTCAGCATGGATTTATAAAGTGGAAATCATGCTTAACCAACCTGACAGCCGTCTATGATGAGATGACTGGCTTGATGAATGAGGAGAGAGCAGTGGGGGTTGTTTACCTTTACTTTAGTAAGACTTTTGACACTGTCTCTCATAACATCCTCAGAGATAAGCTGATGAAGTATTGGCTAGACAAGTGATCTGTAAGGTGGACTGAAAACTGACTAAACTACTGGGCTCAGAAGGTTGTCATCAGTGGTATGAAATTCAGCTGGAGACCAGTCACTAGTGTTGTTTCTCAGGGGATGATACTGGGGCCATTACTGTTTAACATCTTCGTTAATGACCTGGATGATGGGACCAAGAGCACCCTCAGCAAGTTTACAGACAATGCAAAACTCGGAGGAGTTATTGATACACCAGGGGGCTGTGCTGCCATTCAGAGGGACCTGGACAGGCTGGAGAGATGGGCAGAGAGGAACCTCCTGAAGTTCAACAAAGACAAGGGCAGAATCCTGCCCTTAGGGAGGAATAACCCTATGAACCAGTACAGGCTGTGGGCTGATGTGCTGGAAAGCAGCTCTGTGGAGAAGAATCTGGGTGTCCTGGTGTACAAGCTGACCATGAATCAGCAATGTGCCCCTTATGGTAAAGGCTGATGGTATGCTGAGCTGCACTAGGAAGAGCATTGCCAGCAGGTCGAGGGAGGTGATCTTTCCACTCTACTCGGCACTGGTGGGGCCAGTGCTGGAGTGCTGAGTTCAGTTCTGGGTTCCCCTGTACAAGAAAGGATGCATTTACTGGAGTGAGTGCAGTGAAGGACCACTAAGATGATTAAGGGATTAGAGCATTTGATATATAAGGAGAGACTGAGAAAGCTGCGACCTGGAGAAAAAAAGGTTCAGGGGGATCTGATCAATGTGTATAAATATCTGAAGGTAATAGTGTCAAGGAGATGGAGCTAGACTCTTCTCAGTGGTGCCCAGTAACAGGAAGAGAGGCAATGGGCACAAACTGAAACACAGGAAAATCCACTTGAAAACAACAAAACATTTCTTTACTGTGAGGGTGGAACAGGTTGCCCAGAGAGGTTGTGCAGTCTCCATGCTTGGAGACATTCAAAACCCTACTGAACATGGTCCTGAGCAATCTGCTCCAGCTGACCTTGCTTGAGCAGGGGTGTTGGACCAGATGATCTGCAGAGGTCCCTTTCAACACCAGCTGTTCTGTGATTCTGCTTGCTTACCCAGTTGTTTTGGCCTCCTTACATCCTCTATTTCATCCTCCTGGAGGGTCAACCTCCTGAATTCATCTCCTCATACTGTTACCACACAATTGCTTGCACCCCAGATCTTCCATAAAAACAAAACTAAATTAAAACTAGAACAGGAAAAGAATGTCATATTTCTCATCAGAGATGTAACGATTTTACAAAAGCCACCATTACACCGTTTCCAAGTATCTGAACTTTTCTGTTTGTGCATATCCCACATCTTAATTTTTGTTCCTTTATTTGCTCTCAGAGTGTTTCTTTTAACGCTAGCACTAAATTAAAATCTATATTATAAATTAGTTTTAATTTGCTTGATAATACACTTTCATATACACAAAATCTACCATATGTAAAAAATCTAAGATACTTTTGCATATCAGAGTCTATCCAGACAAATTTCTTGGTGATATTCTTAGCTGAAATAATTTATGGGTTTTTTTTCCTCATAAAATAAAACGCAGTATCTTTTTTCCCCTTTTATTTTCTTTGCAGTATCCAAACTTGTTCCACTGATCCAGGACAGAAATTCCAGTTGCACTTATTTTTCACCATGAAATTTTCTATTTTACAGGTTGTTTTTTGGAAAACATATTCTTTACTCCATCCTACCTTCTGAAAGGTAAATATAACTTTTCTGTAATTAAATGGTAACCAAGATGATGTATTTTTCAGAAATCCAAAGAAATGGATTTAAGATAAATGGAATCCAAAGCAATATCACAGAGAAAAATATAAAGAACAATCACATAAAGATATTGGAGAAATTACTAGGTAAAAGATATTCCATACAATCTAAAATCAAGTTGATAAAAGGTAAAAATAAGACAAAATAATTCAAATAATTCAGCTATCCCCTTCTCTACAGATAGCTATCAATTAAACAATAATCATCTTCTGTATTCTCAATATTTTTATGTAAAGTTGCATCCGATTCCCAACCTACCCTCCAGCTCTTCCATATGAGGTTATCATTCACAATTGTCTTCCGAAAATTGATTTCTGTTTTCAAGCCGATCCTTCCTCCTGCCAAATATTTGATAAGTTTGCTTTGGTAAATTCTTCATGCTGCTTAAATTCTTTCCTTGCAACAGAGTCCACAGGTCATCATCTTCTATTCTTCTCTAAATTCTGCAGTAATAAACTAGGAGTCACTTACTGGAACTAATAGGAGATTACTTTAAACAAATAATTTTTTTTTTTCTTTTTACACAGCAGGTAATGGACTTTTGGAATCCATTGCCACAGATGATTTTGAGAGCAGGTAATATCAGAAGGCTGAAGAAGAGATTGCACAAATTCTTGGACAGCAGGTCCATAACCAAGTAGTTTAAGGAAATAGGCAGGAATACATCTTCTAAAATCCTTTATCCAGCGACTGTGAATGTCTGGAGACTATGCAGGGCAATAGATCACAGATAGTAGCCAAATGCATGTACTATCCCTAAATAGCATCTTCTATTGTCAGAGACAGAAAACTGGGTTAGATGGACCATTATCGGTCCCACTGCATTTCTTATGTTTATTACAGCTACTCTCTCATTTTTAATCATTATGTTTTCTTACTGAATACAATCATAGTTTTTGTTACTTGCACATTTTTGTTAAGGGCAACAAAGAACCCACAGATAAAATACGCAAACGGAAGAGATTTTATCATTAGTCTGATGAACATAATAGCCTAATCAAAACAAACCAGACAGTTTTTAAGTCTAGATAAAGTGCTATTACCACTCATAGTCCAGTTTACCTAATTATCACTAATTCACCTTAATAATATAATTGAAACCTTTATACACCAAATTCCTCGCATCTATCCCTTTCTCTGGTGTTATGCTCACCCTACTTACGCATTGGTATGGCAAACTACCAGTAGCCCAAGATCTTGCCTGGAACAAGCACAGTGTTGATAGTGGGAGTTTCTTTCTCCTCAGTTTTGAGTTTGCTCAGGGTTACTTTTATATATCTAAACCTCTCATATGGTAGTAAGTTGCATTCTCTATTTTCTGTTGATCCCTGTGGTAGTTACACCAAGTTTACATAGGTTTGTTAGTTCTTTTCTTTATATGTTATGATTTTCTTTATATGTAAGATAAGTAAAACTTAAAGTAGAAGCAAATTAGGTAATAACATAACTTTAAAAAACTCAAAATTACTGGACAAGCAATAGTCCTAACCATTTTGCAGCACAAAATGGCTAGCACAACGTAGATAACAGACATCTGATCATAAAACAAGTCAACGTCACAGCAGAAGTTTCTTGGATAATTTTGCAAATATATATAAAGTCAAGCTAAAATATATTTAAGATCAGACTAGTCTGTACTAGTCCGGACTAGTCCTGGCAAATCCTGAGACCTGGTCTGGCTTATTATTGTTTTAAAGCCTGAGGCTCGTTACTAGTGCTTGGCAACATCAAATTATCTTTGCCTCAGGATCACACCTCACAATTTACTTCAAATTACTCACCCAGCTACTGTCTGTCTTAGGGACTTCTCCAAAATCTTGCCATATTCTTTTACCCACTATTAGATTTCTGAACAGAGAAAATTACTATACTTTCCATTGTCTTTCACTCTGGTTGATTGCATACCATCCCATCATTATTTATGCTAGTTTTACAACCTAAATCTTATTGCAGTAGGGCTTACTATCATTAATTCCATCAAATACATTGCTGGCACTGCTCAGACAAATGTAATGAGAATCTTAAGCATTACAAGGTACAACTGTTCTTTACCATGAATAAACTATTTCAGTGAAGTAAAAAAGGAGAGATACTGTTCATATAAATTCTCACACTTTTTTGTTTTCGATAAACCTGATGTCATCACATGAACTCTTGTGCCAATTATCTCTCGTTTAAATGGAATCTTGCCTGAATAGTTGACATTTATAGTTTTCTTTTTTTTTTTAGATCCTTTCCTGAGTAACTGCAGCATAAGTATGTTCACATGAAGTAACAGTAAGTGTGTTGTTAGTCATAATACTTACTTCATTACATACTTTATGCTATCCATTAGTCATACATTGAGCTGAATAATTCCCTAGAGAGAGAGCCCTAAGTTTCTTAACTGTTGTGAAGAGAACCACCACGAGTTGCTTACTTATTTCCTTTCACCTTTTCTTCTCCCCTTATAAATCTGCATAGAGATGGAGTAGAACTCTCCAAAATACGTTCCTTGTTTTTCCACTTCTTACTGTCAGTGCACTGCAGTGTACAATTATGCAGTGCACTGACATCCAAACTGCATGTACAGTACTAATGATAATAATACCTGCCTCTCTCGTAGGGTTTTGCATAAACAGTTTTAAAAACGTTTTGCAAAGGAGGTCAAAAGCATTATTATTAAAATAAACCACATGCAAATAGCTTTTTAGAGAGTAAAGTATGTTAATGCATTAAAAAGAATGCTAGACCAAGACACTCCTAATTTAAGATTGTAAACAATACAGAAAGAAGTGTTGACTTATGTCATAGGAAATTTAGCATTATGTATATTAGTTGTTTACTGAGAGGAGTCACATTCTATAATTTCTTTTTTTATTGGGCTTTGGAGTAAGCGATGTCTGATCTAATAGTGGTATAAATATCAGCTGTGCAGTTACTATGTGTAAGTAATATTATTGTGTTATTACAGTTTTGATAACACAAACGGAAGCTCATCAAAATAGAGGAATAAGCATCTGGTAAGAATTTTAACAACAGTAATCTTCTATAACCTTATCTATAAAAACTAGGAGATATAAAATGAGATTTATATGTATATATGCAGGATTGTTCTTATATATTTTTCAAAGTTTTCAATGAGACTTAAGATTTCTAAGAGTGTTTTTCCTTTTTCATGGAAGCCTCAAATGCATCCCTTGCTATTTGAAACTAAAGATGAATATATATATTTAGATGCATGCACTTTTTTTCTAAGTACTGCTGAATCAAACTGCACAGTCTGTACAAACTGTATCAGACTGTATCTGTCCACAAACAATTCCTGCCATTCCAAACAGAAGGTTTGCTTCCTGTCTTCTTTGCAGAAAGTGACCTGAAGATTTTTCTTCTCTAATGGGAATTAAGAAGCTTTTTGTCAGAAAACTGCATTCTAAATTCTAATTTTGTCTTTGCTTTTACAGCAAGCTACAGAAGAATGTGTAGGTGTCTTCCTGCGTTTCTAAAGATGCTACTGTTCTACTGTATAAGAATTTTGCTATGCTAACCTTTCTTCCTTTATAAAATTGTTTAATTATTTGAAAATTGATTCTGATTTTGAAGCACAGCAAATATCAGACAGGACTTCTGTTCAGTGAGTTTCCAGTACCACATATAAGTGTTGTATTGCAGAGTTCATAACGAGGGATGGGCTCGTTGTCAGTCTCAAGGTCATGGTCGGAGGGAGAGTAACACGAGGAGTAGGAAATGCTACAGCCTGCCTGACCCAGAGGCGTGGATAAGGTGTTCTGCCAGTGTGATGCACCACTAGAGGGGAGCCCAGGAGTCTTTCAGATTCTAGAGTTAGTCGCAATGAACTTGAGAGATCATGATTTGGCAAGTATGAGAATTTATTAGAGATAAGAGGCTACAAGAAAGCTAAAAGTATAGTAAAGCTAGAAATATAACAGAACTGAAAATATATATACATATCAGAGCTCTACAGTTCAGTCACGGGTGCACAGTATAACAACCACTCTTGTTGCTTATGGGCCACCCCTCCGGCATAGTTTTCCTTGGATTCCCAAGCAAATAGGTGCACAGTACAGCGACTGCTCTTGTCTCCTACGGGCCATCCCTCCGGTCTAATTTTCCCCGGTTTCTCCTCACAACATCATTGACATCAGAGGTGTCCCTGCTCACACTTGGGTCCTTGGGTCCACAGGCCAGCTGACCTTGGGTCTGAGTCTACACACAAACCTATGTGGCTTGCTCCCTTTTATAGCCAGTCAGAACAATGCCACCCCTAGTTACACCAAAGCCATAGGGCTCTAAGCAGTAGCAGCGTGCACTTCCCCAGGTGACCTCCCGCTCAGCCGGCAGCCCTGCTTTGTTAGCAACAACGTGGGTCACTCTGCAGGGAATGGCTCCTCAGCACCAAGATGCTGATGGTGTGGGTCTGCAGTGTCACTCCTCCTTTGCCTGGTCTTGTCCATCCTAGAGTCATCGGAAGGTGTGCTCCCCCAGGCTGCAGCAACCCCACAGTGTGGTGGCACCAGCTGTGGTGCACCTGGGGTTCAGTAACTCCTGGGGAACTTCCAGCAGAAACCCCTCTTCTGTGGGCTGCACCATCCAGAGTCCCACGCTTGCCTATGTGGACCCTGTCAACTAGCAACCACCAAAACCTCCTGTTTGCAGCAACTTTTCCTTATGAGGACTTCAACTTTTCAGACAACTGCTGGGAGGCTGAATTCACCTTTATAGAGCCAATTAATGAGGCTACTAGACTGTCTTGGTGAGAAACCAATAGTGAATTAAGTAAGCTCTAAGATTTGGTCTCGCTCTGATATCTGGGTAATGTTTTTTTTATCAGTAGTTTGTGAGTGAATTTCAACTTTGTACATACTGTAGATATGCTTTCTCTTCTTTCATTTTCCATTGTCTTTTTAGGATATTAAGACATCAGTTTTGACCTAAAGAATGATATCAAAGTAAAACTGAGAGACTACTGGAAATTTATTTTTCTAATAGTTATGTTACACTCAAAATCTTGCTCTAGGCAAAACTGAACTCTCCATATTAAAATGAATTGAATACTAAGAACTATATCTTTAGTCTATTTTTTTAAGAGTCTAGTAGACTCTTAATTTATTAAATTATTGTAGAAAAACCTCAATAATACAAAGCATACAGATCAAAAACACCCTTTACTAGTATTTATCCCCTCCCAATGTTATTCTGCATCCTAAATTTGACAGCTTCTTTCTCATGAAGAATGGCTGAGGGTTATAAATAGTTGTCATCATCCTGAGGTCTTCCTTTTAGTAATATGACACTCATGGTGGGGATTTCTTCCTCTTTAGTGTTCAGATCACTTGGGTTTGCTTCTATTTTCTTAATAAGTTTTACCTCCTTCTCACTGGTTGTCAGTGCTTGTCCAAAAGCTACACTGTCTTAGATGTATAGCCTCCCTGAAAGATAACATGAAAGGCTCCTGTGTGTTTTGCCATCAGATTTTGTCAGACCTTTACCATGAGTGGCATTCACAGAGCTTAAGTTAAAACAGGCCAGGCAATAGTCACGTGACCATTAGACAAGTATGAAATTAAGCTAAAATCAGCTCAGCCCAAGGCAGGTGCAGACAAATCCTGGGACCCTGCAGTGCTAGGTCAATATGAAACCTGTGGCCTTCTATTAGAATGCCAAAAATAATAGTTACAGGCTGCGGTAAAGGTATTTATTCTTGGGGATTTAGAGAGGACAAAAGAATGAATTGGTAATCTTGAATTTCATTCTGTTATAAAAGCAACCCAAAACAATTTTATGTTTCTCTGCATGTCCTCTTTTTGCTAAAGTCTTTCTTAACCATGGCGTCCTGCTGGTTTCATCAGAACTCTCCCTGGATGGCTCAATACGAAAAGATTTGAGAAACTATTTCTTCTGCTTTTACCTTATGAGACTCCATGATCTCTTTTTGATTTCAGAGTTGAAATAGCAGTCATGCCTTTTTTTAATCCAGTAATGGATAAAACAAATGGATTATTGTAACTCTCACAATCTAGGCCTGGATCTGGAAGTACAGTGGAGGCCTCAGTTCGAGCAGATATAGCAGGGCATCTTCTCTGCTCCGCTCCGCTCCGCTCCTCTCCTCTCCTCTCCTCTCTCCTTGCTCCTGTCCTCTCCCTCAGCCTAAGTTTACTAAAGCACAGGGAGGCTTTGGTAAGCATGGGAAATTTGAGGGGCCTATGTTGGTGTAAATAGCTAACATTTTATGATCTATAATATACCTAAACTTAGAGTTTAGCTACAGGTCCTTTAAAGTGTAAGATTCAAGTGTAAGAACATTTAGTAAGATGAATAGATACAACATACTTTATAATCTAATACAATATACTTCATAATCTAATGTGTCTGAGGTTTCAAATAGTACCATGGTATACTGCCTAAATAGCAGGCAGAGAAGAAGATTTCAAAGTTAGCCAATGTATCTGAGAGTCTGTATCAATAAATACTAATGTCTCCTGCCAATTAAAGATGTGCAGATCTGATTGAGCAATGTTTGTTCCAGAATAAGAGGCATAAAAAAGTAGATCTTTTTGTTTCTGAACAGCTGAAGATATCAATTTGACTGCTCTCTAGGTAAAATGAAAGGGAGTTTGCTTGTGGCTCACAGTCTCAAGAGGCAGCTACTTTTATCGATCTTCCATTCCTATTCCGCATGTTATTCAGTAAAATGGGAATTAAAGTTGTTTATGTAACTGCTGCACAAGGCTTTTCTTTGTATAGTTAGATTATAGTTCTATCAGGTTTCTGGTGTTTTTTTCACTGTTATATTTTTTCCAGCATTGCAAAAATATTTTTCTTTGACTTTTAAATTTATCAGAAGAAAAATTACTTTTTACTCTCATCTTTCATGTAGTTAAACTGCATACACATTTCAATATGGTACGTGCCCTGTAATAGTTCTACTTATTTGAGTTCCTGAGTACAAATCAAAGGTATTAAACTTTGTTATAACATTTGAGTGCTTGCCAGGAAATGTCATTATATGGTAAATTTGTTTTAGTGCTTTGGCTATGTTATAGAATTGGAGCACAAAACGGACTCCAAACAATATAGTTCTGAGAAAACTTTGAATATTGTACCTCACAAAACTTTGAACTATTTCAATTAATATAAAGAAAGGAGTAGTGAAATTAACTGATACTTGCCTTGCTGGAAGAAATGCAGAAAATGAATTCAGCAAGCCTAATTCTAATTAAGCTACCTGGGCCTTCATTCCATCTGTTCAGTTGGGTACATAGTTGAAAATGGTGCTTGATTTTTGTAAGTCTGCCCATTATTTCATGTTGTCTGGAAACATTTAGAGAGGACTAGGCTATTAAACTGAAGTCGTAAACTCTTACTGTATGGTGTCAATTCCCAAGATTCATGTCTCATGTATTAGCAATCCAATTTTTTCAGAGTTCAGCTTGCTGGTTACCTTTTTCTACCATGAACAAACTTAACAGCTTTTTAGTTGGTCTCTCTGTCTGGGTCATTTGTGTAAATCAGCAGTAATATGTAGCCTAGTTCAACTATTGATCTCTCTAGAGCCCCATGGAACATTTCCTCTAGCTGGGAGTTTTAAATCCTGCTGCTAGTTGTCTGCATTTTGGTTAGCCCTGAAATATAGTCTACTGGTGTTTAAATTCATTTAATGCTTTCAGCACCTTTATCCATTCCGCATTTTTCTTACAATGAATAATGCATATTTCCTCTTCATATGAGTGCATTTAGTGTATTTATTTTTAGCAGTTTGGCTTTTTACTTTACTTTTTTTTTGCTATTTTTATATATCCCTTTATATGCCGTAGAGCAGGTGTTACTGTTCTGAATGCAAGTAATTTGCTCTGAGCGGATGAGTTTACTGAAGATATAGAGAAAGGAACAATACTAAAATCATTGTAATTAACCACTAACAACTCTAAATTTCTTGACTGAAAAATAAGATTATATTAACAACAGTTTGTTCTTTTACAATGAAT